CTGGTGTGAGATGATATCTCATTGTAGTTTTGATTTGCATTTCTCTAATGATTAATGATGTTGAGCATTCTTTCATGTGTTTGTTGGCAGTCTGTATATCTTCTTTGGAGAAATGTCTATTTAGCTCTTCTGCCCATTTTTGGATTGGGTTGTTTGTTTTTTTTGTTATTGAGCCGCATGAGCTGCTTATAAATTTTGGAGATTAATCCTTTGTCAGTTGCTTCATTTGCAAATATTTTCTCCCATTCTGAGGGTTGTCTTTTGGTCTTGTTTATGGTTTCTTTTGCTGTGCAAAAGCTTTGAAGTTTCATTAGGTCCCATTTGTTTATTTTTGTTTTTATTTCCATTTCTCTAGGAGGTGGGTCAGAAAGGATCTTGCTGTGATTTATGTCATAGAGTGTTCTGCCTATGTTTTCCTCTAAGAGTTTGATAGTTTCTGGCCTTACATTTAGGTCTTTAATCCATTTTGAGCTGATTTTTGTGTATGGTGTTAGGCAGTGATCTAATCTCATACTTTTACATGTACCTGTCCAGTTTTCCCAGCACCACTTATTGAAGAGGCTGTCCTTCCTCCACTGTACATTCCTGCCTCCTTTATCAAAGATAAGGTGACCAGGGCTTCCCTGGTGGCGCAGTGGTTGAGGGTCCGCCTGCCGATGCAGGGGACACAGGTTCGTGCCCCGGTCTGGGAGGATCCCACATGCCGCGGAGTGGCTGGGCCCGTGAGCCATGGCTGCTGAGCCTGTGCGTCCGGAGCCTGTGCTCCGCAATGGGAGAGGCCACAGCAGTGAGAGGCCCGCGTACCGCAAAAAAAAAAAAGAAAGATAAAGTGACCATATGTGCATGGGTTTATCTCTGGGCTTTCTATCCTGTCCCATTGATCTATCTTTCTGTTTTTGTGCCAGTACCATACTGTCTTGATTGCTGTAGCTTTGTAGTATAGTCTGAAGTCAGGGAGCCTGATTCCTCCAGCTTTTTTTTTTTTGTTCTCAAGATTGCTTTGGCTATTCGGGGTCTTTTGTGTTTCCATACAAATTGTGAAATTATTTGTTCTAGTTCTGTGAAAAATGCCAGTGGTAGTTTGATAGGGATTGCATTGAATCTGTAGATTGCTTTGGGTAGTAGAGTCATTTTCACAATGTGGATTCTTCCAATCCAAGAACATGGTGTATCTCTCCATCTATTTGTATCATCTTTAATTTCTTTCATCAGTGTCTTATAATTTTCTGCATAGAGGTCTTTTGTCTCCTTAGGTAGGTTTATTCCTAGATATTTTATTCTTTTTGTTGCAATGGTAGATGAGAGTGTTTTCTTGATTTCACTTTCAGATTTTTTATCATTGGTGTATAGGAATACCAGAGATTTCTGTGCATTAATTTTGTATCCTGCTACTTTACCAAATTCATTGATTAGCTCTAGTAGTTTTCTGGTAGCATCTTTAGGATTCTCTATGTATAGTATCATGTTGGCTGCCCAAAATACTGGAACAGCATAGAACCAATCCAAGGGTATGTTCCACGCCTTCTTGAGCGAGGAGTCTCCATGCAGAGGCCTAGGAAGACCCCACTACATGCCCTAGGCTCACTTGAGAGGAAAGGATGAACTTGACATTAGAAAGGGAGCTACCAACAGAACTCAGTGGCTCTGTATTGAAAAGGGAAAATGATGATTCCATGTTCCTTTTTAAAGTTCAAATCAACATCTTTCTGGATAAATATATTTTTTAACAGAATCTTTTTATTATTTTTATAAGATATAAAAACAACTACTCCCATCAATAGCAATACAAGGTTTAACATTTTAACCAGATTTTCTCAGGCCTTTTTCAGATACCCTTAGTAGCTAATTATTTTGTCTACCCGTTCTGTAAACAATCATCACACAACATACAGAACCCTGGGGAAGACTGCTGAGGGCACCCTCACTCTGGCCCAGCCCATGTATTCATCCCCGCACTGAAATCCGCACTGAAATCACCTAGTAACAACATTCTCCTCTGTTTTTCAACCGTTTCCTGTCTGTTGCGCTGCTTTGGGGATGGGAAGGGAAGCAGAAATTACCGTTCCACTTAATGTCTGTGTCATACAGTTAGCGTTGCCAGTGAAATGTTCCCAGTCACAGAGAATTGTGCTTTTGATTCCATCTGACCATCTGCCTTTCTTGTCGTGGTCTGGCCAGCATTCCTTCTCTGCACGTGAGGCCGGTGTATGCAGCGTCCCATTTGTCTCAGGTACACAGCTTGGTTCTCTGCACCATACCTACCACTCTCCACCTTATGCCATGTGGGCCCTACCTTAGAGAGAGACCGAGTTGGCCCAGAGATGACGGTTAGATGTGCTTCTCCTAGGAGTCCACTTTCTCCTCACCCAGCCCCTGGAATTGTACTCCAAGACTGGGAGGGGATCCTGGGAGACCCAGCTTTGATGGCCAACCAAGTTCGTAAATCCTTTCTGGGTGTTTTCCAAGCCCTGTAGTATTCAGCCTCTTGTTGGTTGGCTACAGAACGGATTTTTTTTTTTCTTTTTTGACCTGAAAATATGTCTGTGTCTGAGAAAAGGTACAAGGCTGGCTTGGTTTACAAGTGACAAAAAATAAAGTTGGAAACCAGCGTGGCCCTCATGCCTCTGCTCCTCCAGCCCAAGCACAGACTTTCTTCTTTAAGCCCCACAGTTTAGCGAAGTCTTTCCTATCCGGCTGCTCTGTAGCCAGCAGCTTCTGCAACACAGTGTGTTGATAACTGGGGGAAGAGGTGCCATCTGGTTACTAGGGGGCAGCAGCAGCGGTCCCTTGGGCTGCTCTGCATGCAGTAGATGCGTGTGACTGGATAGAGATGGGAAAGAGATTTCTTACTGTGCGCCGTGGTACCAAAAGTTTGAAAACCACCATTTTAGCGAATCTGAAATACTCTTCTGTGGGCAAACAGCCCATGTGAGGGACTGTTTCAAGCAGAAGGGCTCTACAGTTTAATTCTAAGAGATTCTAGTGGCATCTCGTAAGGGAATACCCCCCAAGGAGATATTTGGATTAAAAGCATCCTGGGTAACCCTGGCAACTCTCAGCCACACATTCTAGCAGCAGTGAAATTTCTTTTACAACAAGGTGCAGAGTTTTCCTTTCTGTTTTAAGAAGAAATTGATTCTCCTTAGCTCTGTTGTTTCCAGTCGTATTTATGAAAACTAGTGGGCACTGCTTACCTATGGAGAAGCCTGTTTCATTGCCCAGTCGTTCTCCAAGTGGGGGATTTTGCCCCCCAGGGGATATTCAGCACTGTCTGGAGACCTTTTTTGTTGATACAAATGGTCTGGGGCACGTACTAGTGGCGTCTAGCGGGTAAAGACCAGGGATGCTGTGAAACTGCTTACAGCACACAGGCAGCACCCCACAACAAAGAATTTTCCAGCCCCAAATGTCAGTAGAGCCAAGTTAAGAAACCCTGGTCTAGAGGAAGGCTTTTCTGTAGTAGACTGGAGTTTCGTAAATCTAAGAACAATAGTGTCAAGGCCATACTGCCGCGTGGAATTCGGTCAGGGGCTGTTTATCAGTGTCTCTTTACTTTTTGCTCAGTTGTAAATCTGACTAAAAACCTAGTACTCCCTATGCCATTGGTCCAAAAATATCTTCATCCTAGAACAAGTGCACTCGGTAATTTTAAAAGTATTTTAATGAAAATTATAGTGTCCATTGGATTAATGTTTTGTAAGGTGCAGAGACCCTTCTATGTGGCAGTTCATTTAAAAAACTATATCTTACCATAACAGATTCTTAAGATGACTTATATGCCCATTGTAGAAAACTTGAAGAGTATTTTTAAGAGTTTTTAAAAAGCAGTAAATCCCAAAGGAATCAATTCAGTATATTATTTACATTTTTTAAATGGATTTTTTAAAATAGTTGACATCTTGCTATGTATACAGTTTCTAGCCTGCTTTTTTGTCCTACATTTCAAACATCACCCCAAATTATTTGAGCCTTTGTAAACATTCAGATGGCTTCTTGGTGCTCCATCATACGATAATGAACCCTAGATTTCCTAAACACTGTTGTTGAATACAGGTTATTATCAGCTTTTCACTATCATAAATAATCTGGGATTGATATTTCTGCTTTTCATGTTGCTTTGTAAGTAGCACAGCAACGTGAATTGTTGGGAAGGCTTTGGGACATGGTTATTTAATTCCTAGCCTGTGACAGAAGCAGACAGAAAAGTCTTGTACCAAATGCAGCAGAGGAGACACAGGGACACCATTTGGATCACCTGACTCACAGGAAAAGTTCTGGAATTCCTAGGAATGTGGATTTAAAACTTGGCTAGACCAACCAAACCATGTATCTACATGTACACACGTCTATGTAAGTAAATGTCAAAAAGAAAAACAAAGCTGGAGGGATAAACAGCAGACTTTTAGCAGAGGCAACTCCGGGATAATTAATCGGGATTAGAGAGAAGGGCAGGCAGAGAGGAAGCACTTGAGGGGGTATTTTTTCCCTATTATCTTTTCTATATTCTTTGAATTCTTAATTATGAGAATATATTCATATGTGACTTGTGTAATATTTAAACCTAGTATGTTTTAGAGAGTGAGTTGGATCCTCATGGAACAGGGTCTGAGCTATGTCAGCACACACTTTCACTCCTTTTTTAAGCAACCCTAGCACGACACCGGCACATTTGGGGCCAGGACACACGAGCGAGTCTGCAGCTGATCCTGTGTTCAGAGCTGAGAAGCTCGCACCTGCATTTAGATGAGAGGCCTTCACCACTTGTTCTCCTCCCAGCTCAGTGGACGTGACGCCTCTGTATCCACAGTGTGTGACATAGAGGCAGTGGGTTAGAAACGCACAGTCTAGGGCCAGGAGCCCGAGGGTTTCAGGTTGACCGACTTACATTACCCTTGGTTCCTGTACCATTGCCCTAAGTGCCGGTTTAGCCAGACTTTCTCCATGAAGCACATAGCCGGCCCTGGGCCAGCAGATGGTGGGATGGTTCCTGTGTCTTTCAGGCCGCACACCTGGTCCCTGGCTCCACACTGAGGCGGCCGGCCAGAGCTCCGATGACATCAAAGGCAGAAATACTCAGGTAACACGGCCCTCAGGTCTCTTGAGTGTGAAACTGGGAAACCTCAGGGAGCACAGAAATGTTGAGGGTGTGCTTTCCTCTGAACAGCCTCCCGTTTTTCCTCAGGGAAAGCCATAGGGGTACCTTTGTTTCCAGCTGGGATGAAACACAATTTCAAAACCTGAAGAGTGAAAGGGGGGGAGCTTCTCTGGAATCACCACCACACACAGAAGCAGCTTTGGCAACACAGAACCCGTTGGGAATCACTCTGCAACCATCACCCCGTTCGCTCCCATCATTCTTCCCTCGTTACCGTGGCCTGAGAAGCCTGAGAGGAGAGCTCTGTAACATGTATAAAACATAATTTGGTGTTCTCTCTCGTCTATAGAATACATGGTTTCTCATAGCACCCTGGGGATTTTTCTCCCATCGACATTATCATTTACTTATTTTTTTAATTTTTACTTTATTTTATTTTTGGCCACACTGCACAGCATGTGGGATATTAGTTCCCTGACCAGGGATTGAGCCCATGCCCTCTGCAGCGGAAGCACGGTGTCTTAACCACTGGACTGCCAGAGAAGTCCCCAACATTATCATTTCTTTTGACCAGATGTAGCCACAAATTTTGCTGGTGGCTAGAGGAAGGCTGTGGGGAGGGGATCGGGGGAACCAGAGGGGTGCTTGTGTCATAATTATGAGTCTTTGAAGAAATGCCCTCGTGCTCACACGAGGCAACTTGGACACAGTGTTTTTCTAACCTGGGCAGAGATGACATCTCTCACCGCAGACGACAGGGTCTCATCTTTAAAGGCCCTTCGTTTCTTTGAAAACATGCATTCCGTCCACCCTGGCCTCCTCCTGTTTCACAGTGCCATGTAACAAAAGGGGTGGCCTGCTGTTAGATCAGAACCTCAAGGAAAGGGATGTGAGAAAGAAGGAACTTAGGTTACCGGAAGTGGGGATGAGCTCCCTGAAGGACAAGCACCCCTCCCCTTTCTCACCATGGCTAATCCAAGAATTGCAATAACCATTCTCAGATGACTGTAGGTTCAACACTGGGTGTATGATTGCAGTTCAGAGAAAGTATGTATACAGAGGAAAAAAGAAGACAGGAAAAATATACACAGAATTGTTCACAGGCATTCACTCTGCCAGCTGATGGCTGATTTTGACTTCTTAGGGGGCATTTCTGCAATTTCTGAATGTTCCATAATAAATACATTACTCCTGTGATCAGAAAGATATAGTAATAATCAAAATAATATCTCCTACATTATATAGCTCTTTATATAGTTTAGATAACTTGCATATGTTATTTCACTTGCTCCTTTTAGCAACTCTGTGGTATAAGCTGGAGAAATACCTTTAATGCAAACTTTTTTCATATGAGAAAACCAAGCTCCAAAAGGTTAAGGAACTCACCCAAGGTCAAGGTCACGTTCGCAGACCTCTGACTCCTCGTCCAGTGCTCCTTCCACTGTACCTCACTGCTTTGCCTGGCATGTTAGAATTGACAGGACAGGAGTCACCCTCACCTTCAGACGTGGCAAGCACGATGGGACATTATGCACGGTCTGGTCCCTGACCTCATGGCAGGCACACATCTAAATCCCTGAGCCCATAAAGTCTAGTCAAGGATGAATTGTTAAGTCTCTCTTGGGCATCCCATTGTCAAGAAGATCTTCTTTATGTCTAGCTGGACACCATCTTAATTCATTTTCATTTCAGTGAGGCAAAATCGCCCAGAGAAATCACGGGGTTCCAGACATGGTGAACAGCACCCTGGGGGTGCTCTTCTTTTATGGGTACAGAGCCCAAGTGATCCGTGCAAGGCTGGGAGCTCTGAAATCTGAAAGCCTGGGACCCTTTCTCTGTTTTCCGTTGCCTTGTCTTGGGATTGCCACCAAGTTCTTTGCTTTTCTTCAGCTTCCCGTCAAGTGAGTCTGCTGGTGCTTGATCCCTTAAATGTTTTTGATGGGATTAGGTCGCCACCTGCCACAAGCTACACTTTTCATTCCTTTTCCACCCATGACCTCCTGGGTGAAAATAAGCACCTTACGTATGATGGGACCATCAGACCCTGGCAGCCTTGCACGCAGGAGGGACAGCTTCACTGCCCGGCCCCGGAGTGTGTCATTTATGTGCTGCGAGTCCTCTGACCCCACCTGATAACACTGTCGTGTTTCCACAGTTATCGCTGAAGACACTCCGGTGAGAAGACAGATGAAGCCAACGTCCTGTGAGCCACCTGGGGGTCCATATGGCGGGGTGGACATCCCCAGGAGAATGTCAGACCTCACCCTTCTCAAGTTGTAATTCAGTTGACATACAGGCTCTGCATGGAGCATTTATTTATTGTAAATACGTGATTTGCACAGGCTTTAAATCAGTATTATAGTCGATTTTTATTTGAGTAATTTACAAAACACACACATCATTTCTCCATTGTTTAAAATGCATCTTGGCATTCATCTGTCAGCACAGATGACAGCCCTGTCCCCACCACAGAGTGTCCATTCCATGACTGTAAATACGCGTGCAGGCTGGCCCTCCCTAGATTCGGAACCATTTTTAGAAGACTCCTTAGTTTCCCAAAGTCATAGTATCTACAACAGCTTCTTACTGGCATGATTTTCTAGTCTCATCACACAAACTGCAAAATCAAACCAGATAATGCCTTATAAATGACGCGGCTCACAGAGAGCGATGTGTCGCCACACCCAGACGATGCCACACGGCCTCCAGTGAACGAGATGCCATGTCTCGTTCCCGTCTTGCAGTACAGGGATTCTTTTGCTTCCTAATGTAAACATAACACAAGTCAAAGGCAAGAGCGGGCTTGGCCTCTCCAAGGCCAACCACAGGGCCCCTTTTGTATCTGAATGATCCTGCAAGTAGCCAATGCTCTTACTGTTTACACTGCCCCTCGTGCCCAAGTCTGCATGACGTTCCTCCTGTCCCTCCAAGTTCCCAGCCTCATCCTGGCAGACGAGGTGAGCTGTATGAGATTTCAGTATTTTCCCTGCAAGTTAGAAACCTGTGTAAGTCATCACGAGTAAATTCCTAATTCTGTCTCAGAGCTCTTTTTTTTCCTCCCCTGAGTGCAGGGTTTTCGTGAAAAACATGACACGGAAAGTATAGACTGAAATGTATTCTGAAATATCTGCATGAAATATCAGTGCCCCACGCCCACCCTTAGGGAACCTGGAGCCACCCATCAGGCAAATCCTAGCTGCCTTCTGAGCCCAAGAGAACCTAATTTGTCTGAGAGTCCCCCAGTCCCTGTGGTGGCACCTCTCTAGGTGGGGAGAAGTGTGTGAGTTCAGCCAGCCCTGACTGTGGACCGGCTCAGGACTGGCTGGGACCTGTCCTCTCACACCCTTTTTCTGGAGCTGGCAAGGGAATGGCAGTATGTTTTTGCTTGCTGCATGACCCCATCCTTGGTGGAAAAGCTGTGACAGAGGAAGGAGAGAAAATAGGAGGAAACAGACTGATCCCTCGTCTGTGCTCAGAATAGCTGCAGATTAAAGGAAATCAGGGAGGCAGAAGTGGGAAGAGCAGTGAAAAATAAGTTGCCTTTGAAATAGCCCACTCATGCACTCACACCTCAAGGATGTAATGCCCGGAACACGCCATCCACGAAAGGTAGCCGTTAGGAGTGTTTTGGCAAACATGATGATACACCCACCTAGCTGCTGTCTGGAGTGGAGACTAAGATGGTGTCCTCCATCATTGTTATGCTTTCTCATTCCAGACAGAAGCCACTGAGCGAGGTCAAGTTCCCTTCCCTGGGGAATAAATCATGCCAAGTTGTAACAGCTAAATCAATGGAAAAGAAGCTTTTGCAGGTCATCAGCTATGGGCATACCTGATTTGTTTTTTTGGTTCTGCAAGGTTTCCAGAAGGTCAGAACTTCTGTTTATTACAGTATCCGCTCCACCTCTCTCTCAGGTGTACGGAATAATTACAAGGGTTTTACTGATCATGATTAAGGAGGTGCTAGACCAAGGCTGTTCCACCTTCAGAGTAGACTGCCTGCCCTGATGAGGTGTTTACACATCAATGTTCTGCACCGCTGGGATGGAAATTCAAAATAAAACCATTCAAGGACAGAGGGAAGGAATGAGGAGAAACCAAAAATTGCAATTAGGGAGAAATTTCAGGAACCTGGGATCACATCCCTCCTCCAGACCCATCACTGAATTCTCACCCTTTGACCTCTCGCGGTGCCAGCCTCCGGCGGGACAAACCCTTCACCCCTAGACCACAAACTCAAATGTAGCGCCCCTCCCATCCTCGCGTATTCTTGCTGGCGCTGTGGTCTGTGACTCCCGCAGTGTTTCACGTGTATTTTATATTTATTGATGTTCCCTCTGCAGATTCATTTCTTTGTACCCAATAAACTTTAATAAGTGGGAACGCTTCTAGCCATTCACTCGTTAAAGCCTATCGATGGTCACCAGCACCAACGCTTTTGTAGCTAACTAAACAAATGGGTATTTGGGAAAACCAACCAAGGGAAAAACTTTCTCAAATGCATTCTGTGAAAAGTAGATAACACTGTATTTACTCAGTTTTATTAAAATCAAATGGGCAGAGTATTGTTTACAAATTACGCTGACTTGTGTTAAAATGGAACCGCTTTCAACCTAAAGTGCACTTAGCACTGCCACCTCAACTAAGCAAACCCTCAAAAACTCTCCTATATGGAGCAGTAATCATCTCCATTATAGTGTCTTCAGGTACAGGGGAGATGAGGTTTACCTGATAGGTAAGTTGGCTTAAGGGAAAACATGGATCTGAATCTCGATTTTGCATCTTACAAGTTTAGGGAAGTAACAATTTTAGCCAGTCTATGCCTCAGTTTCCTCATCTGTAAAATGGGGGCATAGATATGTATCTAAACATATAGTGGTGAAGATGGAGTAACATAACCCCTGGGCTAGCCTTTAACCCTGGGGTCATAGGAGACCAAGGTATCGGTGCACGCATGTGCGCACACGCGTGCGCACACACACACACACACACTCTCTAGGGTACAAGCGGTTTGTTTATTATACATTCAGTCACACACAGAGCTCTCGCTGGCTGCATTCCAGGCATTCCATTCAGATATTCACTGAGCTGCTCAGATCACTAGCTCTGCTGTTGGGTAACAAGGAGAGAGCAGTAATTAAAGTTCATAGATGCTCCTGAAATAAATCTCATCTAGAAAGTAATTTCAAAGTTAGCTGCTACACACTTTGCAACTGAATTAGTTAAGGACCTGACTTGTTTTATCTGCTGTTTTATTAGTAGAGGCACAGATAAGCTTTTTCATGACCAAAAGGGCCCATCTGATTGGAGGAAAAAAAGCAATGGCCCAAGATAATCGACAAAGTGGAGGATGGACTTTAAAGCCATTGACTGTAGAGGTATGTGAAGTGGCCATAGTTCTAGGCACCCCTGATGGAGTTCCGGGTGGGAGAGGTGGTGCCTAGAGGGGCGAGGGGAGCAACTTAATGGGACGGGCTATGGACTCCAGAAGCATGTTCTAGGTTCTCAGACTGTGCCCCAGGAGGCTTGGCATCCTTCACGAACCTGCTCTGTTATGAACTGAATTGTGTCCTCCAAAAATTCATATTTTGAAGTCCTAACCCCATACCTCAGAAAGTAGTCTTATTTGGGAATAGAGTTGCAGATGTAAGTTAAGATGAGGTCCTACTGAAGTAGGGTGGACGCCTAATCCACCCTATATGACTGGTGTCCTTATAAAAAGGGGAAGTTTGGACACAGACACATACACAGGGAGGATGCTATATGAAGATGAAAAGAGAGATTAGGGTGATGCTTCTGCAAGCCAAGAAATGCTGACGATTGCCAGCAAACCACCAGAAGCTAGGTGGGACAGAATCTCCCTCACAGCCCTCAGGAGGAACCAACCCTGCCAACACCTTGATCTTGGACTTCTAGCCTCCAGGACTGTGAGATAATAAATCCCTGTTGTTTAAGCAACCCAGTTTGTGGTCCTTTGTTATGGCAGCCCTAGCAAACAGATACATCCTGTGTTACCTTGGAGCTTTGCAGGAGTTTACAGTTTGTGAAAAAAGGAGCTGAGAAAAAAGTTTAAAGAGTCAGCAGTTCCTTGTCATGTAAGTGGGGCCATCATCTACTCTGACCTTGACACAGGTCACGTTGCCGGTAACTAAGTCCTATTTTCATGAACAAGACATTCATTTGCATTTTGCCTGTCACGTGGAGACAAAATCATGGAAGCAATCTGGCATTTCTAGGTCACAAGAGTGGGAAGAGCTGGCTTTTTTCTTAAGTGGCACCCTTTCCTCTAGTGGAGCTTCTGTGGCTTTAAAATAAAGATGCTCGGCATAGATGGCACCGGCCATTCTGATGATTTTTTAAAATTTGGTAAAATAAACATAAAATTTACCATTTTTAAGGGTACAGATCAGTCGTGTTAAGTACGTTCACAGTGTTGTATGACCAGTCTCCAGAACTCTTTTACCATCTTGCAAAACTTAAACTCTGTACCCCTTAAACAGTAACTCCCCATTCCCCTTCCCCCCTAGCCCCTGGCAACCACCATTCTACTTTCTGCCTCTATGAGACTGACTACTCTGGGTACCCCATAAAAGTGGAATCGAATAATATTTGACTTTTTGAGAGTGGCTTATTTCACTTAGCATAATGTCCTCAAGGTTCACTTATGTTGTAGCATGTGTCAGAACTTCCTTCCTTTTTAAGGCTGTATATTCCGTTGCTTGGATATACTACATTTTGTTTATCCATTCATTCATTGACGGAGACTTGGCTTGCTTCCACCTTTTGCTTATTGTAAATAATGCTGGTATGAACATGGGTGTAAAAATATCTGAGACTCTGCCTTCAGTTCTTCTGGGTATATACTCAAAAGTAGAATTGCTGGCTTATGTGCTGATTCTATTTTTAATTCTTTGAGGAACCTCCACACTGTTTTCCATACCAGCTGTGCCATTTTATATTCCCATCAACAGTGCACAAGGGTTACGAACTCTCCATATCCTCACCAACACTTTTCTGTTTTTTTTTTATAGTAACCATCCGGATGGGTGTGAGGTGGTATATCATGGCTTTGTGTTTATTTTTAAAGAGTGAATTTATCCACAGAATGGATAAATGGAGAAAACGCTGAACGGTTTGGTCTTCCGAAGATGCCAGTCATAAAATATATCCCCCTTCATACATTTTCTATGTTGTGGCCAATGCCCACATCTATTAGTGAAACACAAGATAGAAGAGGCCAAGAGACATTAATTTCAGTATTTTTTTATTGTATGCTTGATGTATTTAGAGACAATTCCAAGGGCAAGCACTGGTTGGGGAAGTTATCTGGTTTGTAGATATGTGTACAAAAGGCTATTAAGACTACACGGTCAGTTCCCACTGCAGGAAGCAGAAAGGTTTTCCTTTTTATTATTCCCTGCCCCTAGCGTTTTCCAGCTCACACATCTGACTTCTCACAACATGACTGCAAACGTGTACGTATTCATCCCCACGAGAAATCGGCATGTGACATCTCGGGATGTTTGGATTCAATCAGGTAAAGCACATTTGACACAAACCATAGGAGGGGAAGTTGGGACCTAGGACCCTATGGAATGAAATGCCAGGGCTACAGGGAAGCACAGGCACTGCTGGGTCAGCTGGTGCACGTGACCTGCCGCCCCTCCCCCTCCACACAAGAAAGGCCAGCTCAGTGGGTTCTCCTCCCTCCTTCCTCCCAAAAGCTGAGAGCTCAGCTGAAGACCTTCCCCAGAAATGACTTGACTGCTCCTCAGTCAAGAATGCAGTTAGTGCATTCATGACAGACACACTGGTCCCACCTGGCTTTCCTGCTGGGCTGGGCAGAGCTGTGTAACACCTGGACCCATGTGGGATGACATCAGGAAGCAAAGTACTTTGCCTGGTTGATAATTATTTTTTATACCTAATAATCCACCCAATAGTGAAGGAACTTCACTGCTAATATCTAATAGGCATACACCTTCTCTATTAGACAGCTTATAAGAAAGACTCTTTCTAACAATAACACTGTCTTATGTTATTGGGCACTAAAGAATTACCATAATTTCAAGTATATCCTTATTCTACCTAAAATTCCAAACCACCTCCAAGGATGAAAGAGTACTACTTCTGCTTTGCTAATTTACTTTTATTGGAGCTTCTGCCCCTCCTCAGAGTATGAGTGGTAAATCCCAGCTACTAGCCAAGACTAACTAGCTTATGTTTGATTATGGGGCGCGGGGATAGGGGAGAGATCCTGTCCTTCACGGCCACGCCTTCTTTCTGCACAAGGCATACACAGCCCCCTCCCCCTCCCCCAGGTCCTAATGGATACACAAATGGTATTTTAGGAAGCTATTTACACACCAACCTTTAAACATTATTTCCATAGTTCATCTTGAATATTCATTTTCCCCATACTGCCTTTAGAAAAGCAATCCCTGGTCAAGAAATCGTCCGTGTAATGATAAGCACTTTTCAAAAGCTGAGTCTGTTAGGAGCATTTAAAACAAACATCCCCCCAGCAATGGCGTACTCAAAATCCAACTACATGTTTCAAGCTGTTAATATGTCACTAGAAGTGAGTATAGCCACATCAGCAGGCTCTTTGCTCTCTTCTTGTCTTTCCCCTCGCCTCCCAATGCACAAAGAGTCTGTCCACCGCTATTACTCAGGTTTTAACTGTACATAGAACATCTCTGTACAGCCTGATGGAAGCATCCCAGCCCCTTTTAACTTCTGCCACGAAAAGGACTGCCACACCCTCTAGTGGTAAGACAGTGGCATCACAATCGTGATGTATAGCGTCAGCCAAGACATCTCTCAGAGCTGGCCCTTCTTTGGGTTGCTGGAATAAGGTCAATGTCCCTAACAGAAGTGGCCATTATGTTTCCCACTACACAATGGCTGAGTAATAGCATAAGTCTGGCTGGGTTATCCGTGACCTTTGCTTGGCCCGTAATAATGAAAGCAGGCCTCTGGTGTAATTTATTCTCACTAGACTTCTTTTGGTCAAACCCCTAATCACCCTGGGTATCTCAGACATGCCAGGTCTGATGAAATGTTTCCATAATAGGGGGAGAGGATTCCACATGGTGAAATTTTAGAGTGGCTTTCTGCACTATCTTGTTTTAAATAACCACTCAGCAGGTGGGCTTGGGAGGGGATGAGGTACATATGTCACCCCCAAGCCTCACCTTTCCCCACTCAGCAGCTGTAGACAGACGCTGCGCCACCTAAGAGGCCACCCTAAGTTCACCCACAGTGAGAGCCCAGGCCAAACCCCGACAAAACTCAGCAACCACAGGCCACCGTGAACAGCTGCTGTTAACTTTGTCAGCACAAATATTCCTCCCATCTCTCACCAGTTGTAGTTAGTGACTTTACACACAGAATTTGCAAAACTGCTGGGCAGAAAGCTCACGGTGCTCTTATGCTTACACCCTTACAGGGGAGTTGGTAGAAAAAAGGATTTGTTCCAGTAAAACCTGTGACCCTCAGGGTCCACGTCTGTGTATGGGGCCCAAGCCCCTTCCAGCTCTCACGGCATATGATACACTGCAGCTGACAAGGAGTCACTAACTTGAAGTCACTTCCAAGACTACTGACACTCACAGTGTTTCCATTTGGAAAGGCCTGCCGGTGATGAAGGTGATTAGGCCCACATGGTACAGGTGAGGCTGCATAATGAAGCCGCTGTCCTCCCTCCCACTGCGGTATTAACACACACACTTCTCAGCATCTCTGCCCCCTTCCGTGTTAAGAGTGGTGGAGAGTTTCAGTGGCTGGAAGTAAGCCCCCCCCCCGCCGCCCCCACCAGCACCTGCCCACTTCAGCTACCGGTCTGAAGGCAGCTAATGGGCCATGCAGGGCGAGAGGAATAAAGGGAAGGACTAGGGAAAGCCAAGTGCTTCCTCCACAGCTTTGGGGGATATAACAGTCTGGGTAGGAAGGGCGGGGGTGGGACTGTCACCGTGGAGCCGAATGCTTCTCCATCCATCTGTCCCCTTCCTGCCCTCTGTCTTCCCCGTGCTGGGCCCATCTGGTCTCCCTCACATGCTTTCCTGGGCTCTGCTGGTAAGTCAAATCCTTCATGTGCCCACACATGGGAAACAAATCAGTTTAATTAAAGTCTCTGCTGAGATAATGGAGTGGCTGCTCAGATTCCAGCTACTTCAACTGTAATCTAAACAGCCAGGAATTTCTCCTTTCTTTCCCTCATTAGCTGAGAAATTTGCCGCTTCGTGGGGTGGAGCGTCTGCCACAGGGCCATTTAGTTAATCCTAAACTAGACGGTGGTAACCAGGCCCAGAATCATTTCTAGACATACGCACATCCGTGCGGCACGTGAGCGGCCATGCAGGGAGAGCCCCGTGCCTCACGGGAGAGCCGCGCCGCGATCCAGGGTCGTCACGCACAGCCGCCTCTCAATCTCTACAGTGGGCAGCTTCCAGCTCGCAGGGCACGTGGAAGCTGTCTGCGGGTCCACCGCACACGAGCGCGGTGCACAGGTTCTGTCAGATCACAGGAATCGGGATGGAGCTGGGCCTGGAGAGGAGCCCCCTTTATTCCTTCCCACTTGTTTTATCTCTCAGAAGACACAGCTGGAGACATCCTGCATTACTGGCCTGCGCTCAGCAGAAGGGAGGCCAGGCCAGGATGCCTCCCTTGAGCGCACACACAAGAGCCCTGGGCCAAAGAAATGCCTTTTGTTAACCAGAAAGAAACCACTACCGAGAGAAAGAGTAAGGCTTCAAAAGATTTTGCCTTCCCCTCGAACTCGGCGCAGTGGAGCCTGTCTTTCAAGGCTTGATGGACTCTAGTCCTCCCATGAAAAGGCTAACGTGTCCCTTGTCACTGAAACACAATAAGAGCAGCTTAAAATCCACAGTCATACAATCGCACAACAGGCAAATGGGATACATGTTTACACTGCAGAAGGAGGGGATCTATGTTGCAGAAGAAGGGGGTGTGGTGAGATCCGAGGCAGAACACTAGGGGACAGTGTGACGTTAACACATCTGAACTTTCTCATTTTACTCGGACAGGAGAGCGGTTTGTTTTGCTGGTAATTTAGTAAGGTGGGAAATTTTAAATAAGAAGGGGAAAGGGAATGCTTACTTCACTTAAAGAACTTAATCTCCGTGTCAACACAGTCATAGAAGAGATCTCCCACTTCGGTGGGGTCCAGGGGGTCATTGCTGGTCAGGATTTCCTCCATGGCTTCCAGGCCTTGCTTCTCTAGTTCCAGCATCGTCTTCCTCAGCTTTTGACCTTGCTCCTGAGAAGGACAAAAACAGCGGGCGTCATTACAATGGACACTGAAAGCCCCACGGAGGGCCTGCCCCCCACCCCATTCAATCTGCTCCCCGCGGGACTGCCACGGGGATGGTTCTAAAATGCAGGTGTGGTGATGTCACTGCTCTGCTTGGAGTTCTTGCCTTCAGGATAAAAATCCAGACTGCTGAGTGACGTTGGGAAAGGCCCTTTGAGGCTCCAGCCTGCCTCGCCTTTGCCACGCCTCCCGCATCTCCTTGCTCTTCAGCCAGACCGAATTAGCTGCATTCCTCCAGCCCATGATACTTTCTCGCCACAGCACAGGCAACCCTGCTCCCCTCAACACTCGGTCAGCTTGCGCCCACCTTCAGGCTTCCGTGAACGCCTTTCCTCTAGGCTACCCCCCATCCAATGCCTTTCCTTCTGCCACGGTTGTTCTCTTTCTGTCTTGCGATGGTCTGTCTACTTACCTGTGTCCCCCATTAGACCACGATCTCCCAGGGAAGGAGACCCGGGCTTATCTCTATCCTCCTGCCTGGGACAGAGAAGGCACTCCCAATAATGTCTCTTGAAAGAATAAATGGATCAATGAATAATCACATGGCACGTCTATCCCCGATTTACTTTTTTTTCTGAGGGGGTGACATCTCTTCTTCCAAGTGGCAGTCACTCATTTACATACAGTGGATGACAATGAGAAGCTTTTACTTGCCCAATTAGTCCCAGAACAGAGAAGCCGCTGTCACCACCCATCGACCACTTCCTAGTGCTGCCTTAACTCAAACCAACGGTCATTGCTAAATTTCAAAGTCCACCCAGCCTCATCGGTCTCATCTCTTTGAAATTTTGTGTAGGATACTTCAGAACACACGGCCCTTTCTGCCCCTGCCTTCGTTTGCCAAATATACACAAAACTGTGCACCAGGGAGTGACATGTTCCCCCTGCTCGGGCTTACTGTGATCCACCTAGAAAACACGCACTGTCAACAGGCAGGGAGGGCAGCCCCGGACAGAACTCTGTGAAATGCAGCGGTAGCATTCATGGTTCCAGGGAAATGTCTGGCAGGGAGGGCAGATGTCAAAGAACTGTGACTTTTACACGTCAGAATGGTCATTTCTGGGGCACACAGGAGCAAGGTCTATAAATAGTGAGACTACCCTTCTCAGAGATACTTTCTGAATTCACTTGGATTTACCGCTGTCCTTTCTTGCTACCCTTTTTAGAGAGTCCACCGTGCTGGAGGTAAGAAAATAAGCTCACCCAGTCCACGCAAAAGGCACGCAGCAATTGACCTATAAGATGTCACTTTCTCCAGGACAAACTGGACCCTTACAAGTTGTTAAATAAATGCTTGGGAAGCAGATAAGCATCTAACAACCATGTTCCTTGCTTCTCCCTTCAGCAAAACAGAGGCTTGGATTTTATATGAAAGTCCACCACTAAGGGTTGCTGTGGGCATATACTGAGTGTTTGTCTTGTTTGAATTGATGTCTTGTAACTTTATTAATCAGAACTTTGGGTGGAGGAGGGAGGGCTGCACTTTGAAGAACAGCTATTTTAAGCTAGAAACTTTAAAAAAAAAAAAACCTTTTTTGTATGAAAAAATATACATAACAAAATTTACCATTTTAACCATTTTGAAGTGTACAGTTCAGTGGCATAAAGACATTCACATTGCTGTGCAACCATCACCACCAACCGTCTCCAGAGCTTTGTTAAAAAACAACATGATGGCATCTTTAAAGTGCTCCGTGACGTACACATCTTTACCCCTCAAAGTACACAAAGAATTTTCGACAACAGAAAAGCAGTTCTCCTGACTAGTACTGCATGTTTCTGTTATTTGCAGGTGAACAGTAAGTAAAAGAGGGAGATACTTAGCCCACTGAGTTCTAGAATAACATCAAAAGCAGAGGCTTGGTTTCACTGGGTTGCAAGAGGCTGGGAGGAACAATTACCACCAGCATTCTAGCAGGGGCCCCCGGAGCCTGGGTTTCTGGAAGCGGACTTGCTGGAGAGGAGGAAGATGACGAGCTTGTTCACTGCTGTCCCGCCTCCTTGCTAGGGACCCCGCCCGCACCCGGGGCTCACAGCCAGGCTCACCTCGTCACTCTCCAGGACCGCCCGGGCCCACTCATGGGCCTTGTATAGCTCGTGGCGGCGGTCTGGCTTCTCCTGGAACCGAGGCTCCTTTCTGGCAGGGTCATCGCCTCCGAAACAGGGAGACTGTGCTTTGGGGACGAGTTTTACATCGTCGACAAAGATGAAAGGCTTGAATATGGACCTGGAGAGAAAGGAGAGGTACTTCAGCCAAACCGAGCCTGGGGCTTGAGGACACCAGAGGCTGCCCTTTCCTTCAGCAAACATCTCCTGGGCCAGCTCACGGTGGCAGGCGGGTGCCTGCAGGGAGAGACCCAACTGCATATCTTAGTAACTATTTTAGTAGCACTAACTGCTGTTTATAAGCTGCAAACTCTTCTATTTGCAGCGAGGAGACATCGAAACAGACTGGCTTTGTTCTGGGAAGGCCATTTAGGAGCCCCTTTCAGTCACATGGAAGGAGGCAGATAGACACAGTGTTTTGAGGAAAGGGTGCAATGGGCCACCGATCAGAGCTGGTCTATCTCCACCGTGCTCTGTGGAAAGGGGCCTCCTGGAAAGGCAGGGTCTGAGACCTCAACCTTTTTTTTTAGGTTCTACCTTATCTGAAAATGTTTGGAATATCTCTGACAGACTCAAGGTGGGACAGATTAAGACAGATGACAAAGAAAGAATCCCGGGGCCCCAGAGAGGGCCCACCACAGAGGACAGAAGTCTGGTTGTGTGAGAGTGAGGCTGAGGGGATGGTAGGTGGCTAACGCAAGAACTCTTTGATTCAGCTCTTCTGGCACGAGGGATGTCTTAGGGGACATGACTCTGTGTGTGTGTGTGTGTGCGTGTGCGCGCGCACGCACCTGTGCATACCTGGGGACATTTCAACACATCCCCCCAGATGCGCACACACCCCAAAACAGTCATGTGTCTAAGAAACTGCATCTTGGGATCCCAGGCCAACGGGGTCTGTGGTGACCACAGCTGACAGTAACACTAGAGGGAGAGAGCCTCACTCTCCCTGCTCTGCACCCAGAAAGAACACGGCTGGATCAAAGCAGTCCTCCTGGCAGAGCACAGGCACCTCTGGGCCCCGAGGGTGGCCTGTTTTCAATCACACCACACGGGCACCTGCATTAACAATTGGAGAGAATGAGACACACACCCGCACCCCGTGTGTACGGCTCCGGTTTGGGTTGTTTCCTCTCCTCTTAACTGGTGCCTCCAGTGGGTGAGAAGTGAGCTGGGAGGTTGATTCCCTCAGCCCCGAGATGCCTGGACTTGAGGCGGCCAGAGCAGCCTTGCCACTGTGTCACACAAACATTTTCACTATGCCACAATCTGCAAAGAACTGGAAACCCATGACCTTTGTACCCAAACTGTGTCCTTGGACTTGAGAGTCAGCATCACCCTCAGGCCCCATCCCCCACCCCACCCCCATCCTGCTGAATAGAACCTGCTTGTTAAGGTCCCCAGGGGACTGATGACATCCAAGTCTGAGGAGCATGACCAGAGACCACAGTAACTAGCAGTGACCTCTTGAGTTTGTTCCCTGAGGTTGTCAAGGGAAAAGGGCTCAGGTGAAGAAGACCCTGATCACAGCATGAAAGGTCGGGCTCATCCTAATTTAATTTGAATATTGAAAGCAGTTGCTCCCAAAGCTGGCAAAGTGGGTGGTACAGGTTAAGGATAAGTGCTGTGTTCTGCAGGTGATGCAAACGCAGGAGGCTGGGCCCATCCACCGTGAAGCACAAGGCATGGGCGTGTGGGCGGGACCTAATTCCACAAGGCCAAGTCCTCCCAAGGAACTTCCCTCCCCAAGATGCAGGGGAGCTACCTCATACAGGGGGAACACACATTGCCACTTCCTACGGCCTCCTGAAAATACCTCACTCCTCTTCCCTTCTCCTGAAGGCTGAATGGGTGACCGTTGAAAGCGAAAGGAATTAATGCACAATTTTAAAGCGTCTAAAGAATTTTGATTACATGAAGTTGAATTCTCCAATTGGTCATTTGGTTGACTCTGCAAAAGGGCAGTTTGAGGGTTCACTGGCAGGTGGTAATGGATGGGGAGGGAGAGAGGAGAGTGGGAGGGAGGGAGGGAGGGAGGGAAAGAGGTGGAAGAGGGCGGAGTCCGGCATAGAGACATCCAGAACTAACTGCTTCTGTGCCCCTCTGGTCTCTGACAACACAGCAGCCTCACAGCGGGCAAGTGTCCTCTCCTTCAGGGCCCGACAGCACTCGGGGTTTCCTGAAAAGGCAGTGCACACAACACACACCGTGTTCCGGAAGATGTGACCTGCAGCTTCCTTGGCCTGAGCTGAGAGCCCCTGAGTGACACTGGGCCCCGGGCTCCTGCCAAGCACCCCAGAACCTGCACAGTTCACACCTCCTCCCCAGGCCCAGTGCTAGGCAGAAAGGGTCAGAGCCGGGGGATCCCCTGCTCTTGGCCTTGGAGGCGGGGTGGGTGCAGGCTTAGCCATGGCGAGCCGGGGAAACTGCAGTGTCCAGCAGGGCTGCTGAGACCGGGCTGCTGAGGAGATTCCTTGGGACAGGGGTTCTCCCATATTACACCAGCCCCAGGCCACAGATGATGTTCACTCGTGTGATGCTACCCCATACAATCCCCCGCACTGCACCTCTTTTCTCTACCCTTCAAAAGGCCATGTGGGAGTGATGTTTTCATTGGGAAATCTGTCACTCAGTTTCTGGAACCTCAGTGCTTTTCTTACCATGCGGCTCAGAACCATCCCGACACCGGCCCTGTGAGGGAGAAGGATGGCGCTGGTCTTGCTGAGCGACCATCCAGGTCTGCCTGCCTCGTGACAGTGGGGCAGGGAACTGGGCTGGGACTCAGAATGGGGGGGTGTGTCCCCTTGTCACCTTTGACCAACTATGGGGCCCGTCATTTTCCCTCTGTCTCTCACTGGACTGAAACGATCTCTACGGTCCCTTTCAACTTCTAAAGCTATTGTGTTATTTCTCTTTCTATGTCATGTGGCCTGTGCACTTGTGTCTTCAAGAAGTTCGTGCTAAGGACAATCATGGTCTTCTGCACCCAATACACAGGATAATAGCAGAGTAAAAATCAGAACCTCTATGTGATGGGACTTCAAACCAGTCCACACTCATTTGAACACCAGTGAGAGTGTCTGGTAGCCCTTCTAAGACAGGAGGGACCATATGTTTAACCCTCCCATCTATCCATTTTAACTTTAAAAATAAATAAGTAAGTAATATGACGAGGTTCCCATAATATTCTAAGGCAGCCAAACCTCTCCAAGAGTTTTTTTTCCAAAGTCTATAAGGAAGTCAGCAACCTCAGCTGCTAAAAACATGAACCATAGATGTGTCTGGTGGTTAAAGGTTTTTTTGAGATTGAATAAATACAATTACTGCCAATAAGAAACTGCAATAATACTAATATACCAGGGTGTGGGAATTATCTATAACTCAGTCCTGATAATTTCTGTCTACATATCCAGAAAAGGGCAACGTGGATAACTCAGCAGTTTCCAAACGTTCTTATTTCCTGCCAACCCTTACAGAAAATCTCATTAAAAGTCCAAATAGGTGAGAAGATACTCTGACATCTTCCCACACTGAACCTCAGATGGTAGCTTCTTAAATGCCACTTGAGTAAATGTATGCTAATTAATGGCCCAGAAAGAGGAAACGACTTGCCAAGGCCGCACGCCCAGCCAGCAGCAAAGCTGAACTGCCCTCTGGGTCGCGACCACCTCTCCAGGCCCACCCAGCCAGGGCGGTGCCCACTTCACCAGCCATGTGGAGAACCCCCAGAGGAGCCCGTGGGTGGCTCGGATGCAGGCGGGACACAGCTGAGGGAGCTCCGGAAGCTGATTCTGCCCCACCCTCAGAGCTGCCTCACAGACTGACCTTCAGAAAAGCCCCCTAACCCAGAGCTCGCCCTGGTCACCCAGCCCCTCCACGGTGTGGTGTGACACAAATACAGGATGATAGGCCCAAAAGGGGAAGTGCTTCCACCAGCAAAGGTCGGCCCAGTAGCTGGTTAATGAGGAAGTTTAAAGGTAGCTGAGCTACGCTAAGGGGACCCTCGAGCAGGACAATTAAACAAAGAAAGCCATGAGCAACATGAAAGGAAACCCCACCACTGAACCCGTCAGCTCTGAGACAAAGCAAAGGGCCACGGCACACAGTCCGACGACACGAAGCCAGCACGGGCTTGCAAGGTCTGTCTCAGAGTCTGCAGGATTTTAGTCCTGGGTGACACTCTGAGCCACAGCCAAGAAAGGCACTTCACTGGAGGCATCTTTGCCGTCTCCGTCCCTTGTTTCTTTCTAAAACCTTGAGATGGATGCACCAAGCCAGTGTAAAAAATCTGTTTTCCTCTCATTTGTTTCTTCCTTTGTAAGGAAGACGAAATCATCATGAAAGTCTCTAACATTTTACAATATATTTTCAAAGTGCTTTCATTCAATTCTCATGGAATTTCATTCATTCATTCATTCAATATGTGTGTAATGCTGAGATCCAGATACTATTCTAAGTACTAGGGATACAGCAGGGCAGCGGTCCCCAACCTTTTTGGCACCAGGGACTGGCTTCGTGGAAGACAATTTTTCCACGGACGGCGGGGTGTGGGGTGATGGCTCAGGCAGTAATGTGAGGGCTGGGGAGCGGCTGTAAATACAGATGAAGCTTTGCTCGCTCGCCTGCCGCTCACCTCCTGCTGTGCGGCCCGGTTGCTAACAGGCTGCAGACCAGGGGTTGGTTGGGGACCCCTGTAGCAGTGAACAAGGCAGGGCAAAAACTTCTGTGCCATTTCACAGATGAGATGACTGAGGCTCACAGAAGCTAAGTGCTTTGTCCACAGGCACACTCCTAATACGTGCCAGATGGAGAAGTAAATTCAGATTTTCTAAATCTAAAGTCATTTTCCCCCATGACCACTCACCCTTATATAGCCCTTCTGCGGGTTTCTAATATATATATATATACGCATTATGCTACCGCAGAAAAGCAAAATATTTTTGTGCTTTGGCATTTGGAATTTAAGTATCAGTGGCCAGCTCACATTTCTGACTTCAAACATGGCTCTGTTCACACTGAAGATGCAGAAACTCCCTGAGCGATGAAGCTGGGCTTATCCTGTGCCCTGGAGTCCCCGGCAGATCCACTGGTGCAGAAAACAGCAGCACAAAGGCTCCTGCTTGGATGAATTTGCTAAACTTTGAACCGATCTGAAAAGGGCCTGGAAGAACCAGTTTCTCTCAACTGCAGGTGTCCCTCTGAATGGTTCATCCATGGGTCATCCCAGCTTGACTGTGAGTCACTTTAATCATATAGTCAAAGCCACATCTGGTGGAGAGCAGAACTTACCCACGAAGGGTGTTTTCATTTAGAGGGAAAGAGGGCTAGTACTTTTGGAGCATGGGACACCCTGAGGGCTGGATCCAGATACTCTGGGAGGTTTCGGAAAGTCAAAACCGTGGGGTAGGAGAGAGGAAAAAGACAGTGTTGGGAGAATTGGGGATGAAATCAGAGGCAGTGCTATTTTATGCAAGGCCCTCGGCTCTGTGTCTGTCTGTGCAGGCTGTGCCCCACACTGTATTTACATAGTAAACTACGGTGTCTACAGCCCATGGCATCATCTCCAATAATGAAAAGGTTCCCCTTGTCACTAACATTTGAATTAACCAGACAAGACAGTCTCAGCTGATGCAACGTAGCCTCTCGAGCCTAGTACCTGGGAGAAGACGAAGAAAACATACACACACACACACCATGTCCCTTGCATGTCCCCATTCCCTGCCACTAAAGTGGGTCAAACACCCCCTTTTTCCTAGAACTTCCTCCCTATTTTCTGTTTACCAGGTTAAAGTACACGGCCTAATACAATTAAAGAAATGGGTGGGGAAATAGCCTTCTAATATTTAAAATGGAAAATTTTTAATACTCTCCCCCTCTTGGTTTATCCATCCTTTATCTTGAGTGTTTGTGTGTTTTCTCAGATGCGGGGGCCTCTCAGTGGTGAAAATAACAAGCCCTAATTCATGATGTCTGCCGATTTCCAAGGTGTAAACACGCCCACTGGGGCCCATTTCAAGCTACCGATGTGATGTCACTGAGCACATGGTTGGGAAGAGATGACATCATCAGCTCCCACAGGCTCCAGCACACCACGAGACTCAGAACTTTACACCGCCTCCAAATGCGAAGCTCCCTCTCTGCTCTTTCCCTCTCCAATTCTTCATATCGATGAGCTTTACCAAGTACTGCTTCCACATAGGAAATGGCCTCCAAAGGTCAGAACCGGTGCACTAAAGCCAATGAGTGTCACTGTATGGATGACCAAGGCACCAGCTGACTCAACAGAATACTAACACGATGGAATGTGCCTGCTCAATAAAATTAATTAAAGGTCTTTTGCATCTCCCACCCACTCTCAAACTCTGACTTCTGCAGCTGCTTCCAACTCTCAAACTTACATAGTACCTGGTACATATATTGGGAGGAAGGGAGGAGAGAAGGGAGGGAAGGAGGAAGAAAAAAAGGGAATGTGAGAACAAGCTATATCAAGAAAAGGATCTATAACTGATGCAATGAGCAAAGAGTCAAGAAGTTCTGAAGCAGACAGACCGATAGTAAGATGATGGCCTTTGGTTTCTAACATTAATTAGGAAGATAAATAATATAGTCTTCTCTGATCATAATCTTTTGCAAGTCCACTGCTCTGAAAGTATTTCTTGCAAACATCTCTCTAATGTTTTTAGCATTAGCAGAAGCTGGCTAAAATTTCCCTAATTTTATTACCTAAAAACCCAAGAGTAGGTAATTACGCTTCCTGATGACAAAATACAAAATGTTGGGAATGCCCAATTACAGAGAAACATTGAAATGCTGAATAGGAGGAAAAAAATCTATGACAGTTCTATAGTCACAGTAGGAAATGTAGCTCATTTAACCAGAGAAGATAAAAATGAATGTCTTCCGGGAAGCCCTTAATGGCCTTTAAGGTCTTTTCAATTAATTTAACCATGAATAACTTTCTTTTAAAATTACTTGAAATTTTCCATTTTAGATATTAGAAAGCTATTTTCCAGCTCATTTTTAGAATTATATTAGGCTGTGTACTTTACCCTAGGAAACAGAATTGCTTTATCTTCACATCCCGGCAATCACAAGCCCTGTCTTCTAAGCACAGTTAGAGCAGCTGTCTGAGACATCAGGAACCAAGGGGGTGGCTGTGGTCATTCTTCAGTTCAACCTGCTCCTTCAAAGGCTCCTGTTCCCTGAAGAACAATGTCTAAATACCTCAGCAGAGTGTTCCAGGCAGACTCTAAATGCCTACATGTACCCCGGCGGGCCAGCACAAAGTGCTCACAAAAGCCACCAGCAAGCGAGGTCAGAGTCCACAAGGGAAAGTCAGACACCAAGGAGAGGAAAGACAAGCCCCAGATCTGATGGATCAAAAAGGGGGTGGGAGTGGGGCCATGGAACCAAGCGTTCAGGACTGGAAGATAAAATCAAGAGAAAGCAGCTGGAGTCAAACAGAGGCGTGTCCTGAGAGGTTGCCTGGAATACTGCCCAGCGGGCAAGGCTCGCTGTCAGAGGCCAGCAGAGGTCCCATGTTGGGCTTGTGTACTGGTGGGGGGCGCGAGGGGGCGGGTGGAGGAGGGATGGAAACATAAACTACAAGAGGATGCACAGCAGCAATGTGTGCCATTCTGTCTCATGCCTCTCTGCCTTTGCATATGCTGTTCCCTCTACCCAGAATGTCATTCCTGCTTTTAGCACCTAACACACCTCTCTCCCTACAACCCCCAGTGCTCAAGAGTTCTTCCTCTGTGGTTTCCCCCTTCATTGTCTCCTGCGTGCCACCTCTTATCTTGCGCATACTTTGTCCCTAGTACCCAACAAGCATAAGATTTGGTACACAGCAGGTGCCTAATAAGTGCTTGTTGAATGAATAATGAATGAATGAAAAACTAAGGATAGCTTATACCGAATTTAATAGGTCTTGCTAGAAAGATCTATTGATGTTGGCAGTAGTGAGGTCAAAGGGTCAGGAAAGGTACTTGGCTTCTCCCCTGAGTCATCAAACAGTCCCTAGCTGGACACTGCCATTGTCTTGTATTCCTGAAACAATACGGGGAGAGTAAATACTTTCAGCTGGAAAGGGAATGAAAGCAAACAGCTACAGATTCCCTGGTAGCAGAGTCAAAGGTTTGATACCTGACACTCAAATGATGATGGTTTTCAGCCAATGGAGCACATGAAAAATACCAAAGAACCTACTGGAATGGGCAGTCTTCTAGACCTCTCCAGGCTGAGGATCAGACTCACCAGATAGATTCCTAAGCCCACCTTAAAGATTCTGATACAATAGGTTTGGGTCAAGGCATCTGTATTTTTCAAAAACTCCCCTAAGTGATTCTGATAATTTAGAAATCACTGGATGGTTGTGTCTAAGCCACTGATGACATGATTTGTGGTGTGCATGACTGAAAGTTACCAAGGAGAAGGGCTGCTGTCTACCTGGTAGATCAGAGATAGTCTTAATAAATAATACTTAAACCTACTATGCATTTACTTGGATTATCTCATTTAATCCTCCCCGAAAGCATATAACAGTAGGGGCTGGTATTGTGTCCATGGTACAGGACAGACACAAGCTTGGAGAGGTTAAGAAACTTACCAGTTACTAAGTGACAGAGGTGGAATTCAATTCTAGACGCCGTGTTCCTAAACACTGTGCAGTGCAAGCCCTTTGCTGAAGTGTGTGGGCAGAAGGCAATACCCTAAAACACAATGTCTTAGAGAAGAGCCCAGTGCACTTGAAGTGGCTTCAATGTGCGTTGCCTCTGGACCATTCTGTCCCCTAACTCATAGGAACTGGTGGTTTTGATCAATCTTGGGCATTCCTGTATCTTTCTGTCTCACTGGGTCTTATTCATCTTTGCATCCCTCAAATACAGCACATTGCCTGGCCCATAATATATATTAATAAATGTTTGTTGAATTTAAAACAATTTGCTTCCATGATGGTGATGAACGGTATGTGACAAAAGCCAAGAACTTCCCTTCATCACAGCTCTTTGTGCTGCACTGGCCATGGTGAGATGACTAAAAAACGTGACTCAGCTATACAGCAGGAGGTGCAGGAACTCAGTGTGTGATTACTGGGTGAGTTCTCAAGGGAAGCACACGCTTGCCACCTGTGTGACTGTGTCTCAGACAAACCTGGAAGGATCTGGGGTCCCAGTGAAGTAGTGAATGCATGGCGAGCTTCTGTTCTGAGGCAGGACAGACACTACACTGGCTGTGGTAAGGAAAGACTCGGAGTCTATACAGACTCCACTGGCTTTGTCCCGTAAGATGTCAATCATAGTCTGCACAGTGATGCTTTCTGTAAAGAAAAGAGACAGAGAGGAGGCAAGCTGTAACCAAAATCCATCAGTCCTTTCTCTTTTTAGTAACAGAACCCCTGAAATTACGGCTGGGAACAGAACTGCCCAAGTAGGGACTATATTTCCCAGCTTCCCTTGTGGCTAGATGTGGTCACGTGATAGATCCTGACCAATGGGAGGAGAGCAGAAATTATGTGTGCAACTTCCCCATTACATCCATAAAAAGGAGTGCTTGCCCTTCACTTTTATCCCTCCCTTCCTGCTGGCTGGGAGATGCCAGTGAGTGGACCACAAAAGGAAGTCACGTGTTGAGGCAGAATAACCCACCCGCCCTGGACTGTCCATATACGTCTGGACTGTAACATGGGAGGGAAATAAATTTCCATTTTCTTTAAGCCGCATTACTCTGGGGTCTCTGTGTTACAGCACTTGGCAATTCCTCAACTAGTACAGTATGCAACTGAATGATATTCATAAGAAAGTATGCAATCCATGCAGTGCACCAAGCAAGCTCTCTGGTATAATCTTGCTGGTTAGAGTCAATACTATATTTGGAGAATGACCTCCCTGCAGTGGGAAATATACACAGAGAGGTATTTAGAATATTTAGAGCCATGAGGACTATTGGCTCTGACTTCAGATAAACAGACTAACAAATCTTTTACTACACAGGATCCTGGTTCTACGTTTTCTCCCTCTGTTTATAATTCATTGAAACACTATTTTTTCAGTGTGTTCACAAAGATCAAATCAGAGCATCACATAGAGAAAAGGTGCCTTAAACTTCACTACCACGACTCACAACCTCTTTGTAAATCTCTATGCGTAACACATCACACCTAAAAGTATTAACAGTAAGTCCTTTTGTTCTTCAACTATCAAGGGTTCAAACTTCCTCACCGTTTCATAAATGAATTTACTGATTTAAACCAGGATCCAACAGGTTGATAATGTCTCTTAAAACTCTTTTAGTCACTGCGTCTCATTTTTCCCCCTTGCATTTTATTTGTTGGGCCATTTCTCCTGAGTTTCTCACACTCTGGACTTCGCAAGACGGACTTTGCAGATGGTGTTCTGAATATTTTCCTCCATCCTCTGTATTTCTGGTAAACTAGTAGCTAGATCCAGAAGCTTCATCAGATTTACGTTTGACATTTTGGCAGGACTACCTTACAACTGGTATTATATACTTTTACCAAGCTAGGTTTTTGAAGTGAAAAACATTTAGAGTTTTTTATAAAGTTCCCATTGTAAATGGATACTTTCTTACCTTCCTACCCAGAATTTATTAATTAAGTTCTATAGCAGAAGTCCTAAAGCGTTCTTCTAGATTGAGTCAGCCAACTTTTTCTTAAAGAACCAGATAGGAATATGTTAAGCTTATGGGCCCTATAATCTCTGCCATAACTTACCTGTCGCAACTGCTCAACTCTGCCACGTAGCATGGAAGTAGCCATAAGCAACAGGTAAATAAATGGGTGTGGCTGTGTTCTAATGAAATTGTATTTACAAAACAGGGAACAGCCAACAAGTTATAGTTTGCCAACTCCTGTTCTAAATGACCAATGGCAAATATAAAATGTGGCCACTGTGTTTACGTGGAAGGGTTTTCCACTCACGCATAAAAGTAACAAGCTATCCAGTCACCCACATTTACCTAAACATGGATTCTGACTAAGTCAATGCTGGGTGGAAGATACAGGGTTCATGAAAGGAATTCAGTTCAACAATTTGACTCAACAAATGTTCATGGAACAAAGGACTATAACAAGTCTCACAAGGGGATCCTAAGATGAGCAAAAGACAACACCCCTGATGTCAAGACTCAGCAGGCTAACGGGAGAGGAAAATATATGAAGAAGATAAGTCAAATATACAAATGCCGAGGTATAAGCAAGGCTGGAATAAGTATCAAAAAGACAAGCATAAGGACATCAGCATTTAAAGGAGAAATAGGAAAAGGAAACATCCATGATGAGAAAGCATCACGTAAAAATAAATGCAAGTTGTCATCTTGCCTGCACAGCAAGGACTTTAGCACAAGTCGGTCTCTATATACAAGGTCTATTCTCTACTCTTCCTCTCTGCTCATTCGCCTAAGTTCAAACAAGGTCTCTGAAATAGCTGCAAGACAAAGGGTATGAGAGGGAGAATTGTAAGGGATACACTAACTCACCTTCTTGCTTTTCTAAGCTGTCTTTGCCTGCACAGCAGGCTAGATGGTCATCAGCTGGAGAAAAAACTTCAGAAAAATTGAACTCGTCCTCTCCCGTCCACCAGCCTTGACTCTGAGCATAACTCCTGAGTTCAGGATGCTCTGCGTCGATCTTAGTCGTGAGCGAAAGCTGATTGCAAATGCACTTGACTCCCTCTGTAGGGAGTGCAAAACCCAGTTATTTAGAAATAGACTTACAAAGACTTAATCAAGAAATGGAAATTTACAGGGCGTCTCTCCCCTGCAACTTGACTCTTAAGTATAGGGAGGAATGGATTCTGTTTCTGAAGAGAGAAACAGATGATCCTTGGTTCTCTTTTAAGATTTCCCAGGAGGTGTGACCACTCCTGACACATTTTGTCACATTTTCAATGAGCAACAGTCACCTGATCTGGCGAACTAAACCCCAAGCATTTACTACTCACAAGAAAAGTGAAAGGTTCTTTGAAAGAGGCGCTGTGCTACTAACAAGACTCATGAACATTGCAGCTCCAGAGATTCCTCCTCCCCAATTTAGTCTCACTCCACCTGAAGGAACAGTTTACACTACTGCCCTCTGCTCAAATATATATATAGTTTTTTAAAAAATAAAATATGATACTTCTTCATTCAAAATTTTTTCAGGTCCCAACATTTAGAAAAACACAGTAGCCCTGATAATGAATTGTTTTATTTATTTATTAATTTAGGCCACACTGCACGGCTTATGGGATCTTAGTTCCCCGACCAGGGATTGAACCCGGGCCCCTGGCAGTGAGAGCACGGAGTCCTAACCACTGGACTACCAGGGAATTCCCGACAATGAATTGTTTTAAATTAATGGAACGTGCATGCAAATATACATGTGTCTGGGTGCATGTGTGTGCACACGGGTGTGCATGAGGTTGAGAAAAATCTCTGGGACTTTGTTTCTGTAACTAAGAATTGGGACTTGCCCCCAGGCAAACAGTCAATATGAAATATCAGGTGTGTGCTTCCCAGGCAGTGACATCCTTCACTCCAGGCTCAGGAAACCCCCGTTCCTCTCTAGAAGCAGAAGCCCAGAAAGGAGAGGCACTCCAGAGCCTACACATGAAGCACAGAGGGTCTGCAACAGCAGCATGACTTCTCTAAGTCCAGGCACCATGGCCTCAGCTTTTCCTGTCCTCGAAACTCTCCACCGGCCACCCCACTCACCTGTGATTCTCTCCGCAGCCCAGTACTTCCCCACGGTCTCCAGCACCCAGGCTTCCTCACTGTCCACGATCAGATATGCACTTTGGAAGCTGTGGTAGGAGTTTGCATCTTCATAATAATTCCCGCCTTGTCCATGTTCTTCCAACAAGGCGACGATGACATCTAAGGCTTCTTTAGCTGTTGCCCCTCTCTCTAAACCAAGCCTGAAGTAAGAAAACCAGAAGCATACCTCTGTCATTCCTCACCACCTCATTATCAGCATAGGAACCAAAGGCTGGGACGGGGCTGAGTTATGAAGAACGCCAACGTGTGTAACTATGTTAAGCACTCAAGCCAATACGCAAACAGATAAACAGCACTTGAACTCAGACACACAACTGTCACACATTCGGTTCAAAATCACGGGGGCGTTTTCTGTCTTTGGACGCCCCCCTTGCATAGAGAGACAGGAGTCAGGAGCCCAGTGGCTTCTCCCTCTTGAAAGGAAGCTTGGCCACCTCTCTTTCTCTTTTCTAATTCTGACTCCCCTAGAGCTGGTCAGCTCAGTTGCAGCCCTTAGCAAGACCCCCTCTCTGTGGCTTGTTCTCCCTCCTGCCTCTGGGCAAAAGGAAACCTCTGCCCAGTCCAGCCTTGACCTCTATTATTCTACACCAGATGTTTTGTTTTTTGTTTTGTTGTTGTTGTTGTTTTTAATTAACTAATTTTATTTATTTTTGCTGTGTTGGGTCTTCGTTTCTGTGCGAGGGCTTTCTCTAGTTGTGGCAAGTGGGGGCCACCCTTCATCGCGGTGCGTGGGCCCCTCTTGTTGCGGAGCACAGGCTCCAGACGCGCAGGCTCAGCAGTTGTGGCTCATGGGCCTAGTTGCTCCGCGGCATGTGGGATCCTCCCAGACCAGGGCTCGAACCCGTGTCCCCTGCATTAGCAGGCAGATTCTCAACCACTGCGCCACCGGGGAAGCCCCACCAGATGTTTTGATTAGTAATAAAAGTGTTCCACAGCCAGCCATTGTCCTCTGTGCATATAATTCACTCACGATCTCATTAGCGATGGACGGCTGGTTCGTACATGATCAGTCCTTTTTCTACATGTTCTCCTCCTACCTATCAGCACACCTCTACTGGTGTGGCTTACAGCTTCAGTCGTCCAAAAGGACATATTTCTTTCAAAGTGAAACAGCAGTCCCCTCCCAGCCCTTCCAATTAATAGACCCCTTAAAGCAGGCACAGACTGCCCTCTGTGTGACCCTGAGCAAGTTCCATAATATACTTGAACACCAGTTTTATGTCACCTGTAAAATAAATACCTACATCACTGAGTACTATGAGGATGGGTTTTATGAGACAATGAACATGAAAATACATGGCTCTAGGGCCCAGCACCAAGTACGTGATCAGTAAGTTTCCAGACATAGCACACGGTGGCAGAAAAACAAATGACGCGGAGATAAAGGGACCTCAGTTCTAATTCTGGTTCTGCTATCCACCGGGGGTAAACTTTCCGAACCTTGATTTTCTCATCTGTAAAGTGAAAACAGTACTACTTCCCTCTCAGGCTGATTTGAAAGAAGATGGCATGTAATGGGTGTCCGGTAAACGTCTACTTATTCATCTCTTCATTCAACTTGTACTTCTGGTGGCAGAAGTACAGAACAGAGCAATGAGCCTGCTAAGATGATAGAAGAGGCCAGTCCTGGGTGAGTTTTCGACTTGAGATGCAATCGTTATTAAAATTCACCCAGCTTAATTCTTCCTGAAGGGACATTTCACTGTGCTGCAGGATAATGCAACTCTGTGCTCTGGTCTTATCTTTGCAAGAGGCTTATTTTCATAGGTAATTGTATATCAATTCATTTGGCATTTCTCAATTTAAGCTTATTTAGGGAGACTGGTGACAAGGCAATGCTTTGAGAAGCTGAAGCCTGAGACTTCATGGGAGTGACAAAAGAATAAACTCGTTAGAAGGTGGAATTAGTGGACTCTTCCGTTGGTCAGTGCCATCTTCTCCAAAACGGCGTAGAGGAAATAAGTGCTCACCTTACCTTGAGGATCCAGAGCAAACAAGTGTGCTGTGAGTACCTCTCACAGCGCAGAGCTGGGCACACAGGAGGGGCCCTGCTTTCCACAGGTCCTGCTTTCCACAGGTCCCTGGTGGCCCCTGGTTACACCGTCTTATGTACGCATTCCAGGGAGAACCCTGTGCCCAGGGCCTTTGCAGGGCCCCAACTTACCCGTGCAAATGTGTGCTAGGAGCCTGTGAATACCCAGCCGGGGCAATAGTGCCACGTCTGGAAGCTGTGAGTTCTCTGGTGCAGTTTCTAACTTACTCTCCTGCTGTTCTGCCTGTTTGGGTCCCACGCTGAGATTCCAACACACGTGCCCTCCCAGACTGACTTTGATGCCCTCTGCACGGCATCTGCAGGGGCGCCTCAGCACTCATCCACAGACACGATTCTGATTATACCCCTCATGCCAGGACCGTGGGGAGAAGATACGCCTTTGTCCCACCTGACCATTCCCTTGCGGTCTCTCTGCCATGGGCTGAGAACAGGACAACTGCCAGAGCTGTGCATGACAGCGGGTTACACCCTCTCCGCCTGAGACTCAGAGCTACAAATGCACCAGGCTATGGTGATCCAGGCCACGAGTCTCCCAACATTGAGGCCTGTTTTAAGCTTTTCATGACAGTTTCCCCTCCTAGATGAGGCAGATTCATCTGATGCCAAATGAGAACACAGCCTTGCTGGCCCCCATGCCTACTTTCACTTCGGGTGCTACACCTCATTATGGGCTTGACTGGAGCAGGAAAAGGAATGAAATTAACTGGGCCAATGTTAGAGTCTTGCTCTGACATCAACCTTCAGTGAAATTCAGATCCTTCCGAGGGTGTGCTTGGTCCGGGTTTTTCTGGATCTTGGAGTTAGATGCTCCTAAATTCAAATCCTTATTTTTTATGGGAAATCCTGGAGAAAATCCCTCTTTGGGGCCCATGACCTTTTCACTGGTATGTCGAGCTCACTGTGCCCGTTCCTGAAAGGTTAACACAGCTCACTAAGGAAGATGAGCACCGTGTGCACTCCCCTAATGCAAGCCCTCGTGTTTAGAAACTCGGCTTGCTTGTCTTTTTGACACCTATGTCTCCATTCATTAGGGAGACCCCTGTGCCTTTGAATCCCAATTAGGTAAAACTAAGTTATAACTAGATTTACCGTGGATATATAATTATAACTAGATTTACCGTGGATATATAATCACTGCCCTGGGGAAAGTCATAAAAATAGTCAACTCCCCTTCCCTTTTAGGGATGAGCTTGGTGTTCCTATAGGGATGTAGATGCAAATAATCTTCCTTCTCCCCCGCAAATCCAGGGGTCTGCAAGGCCCCTCTTGGTTCATGATTTTTTGGACATCGAACATTCCCAGCCTCTAGCCAGAGGGATAGAAGCAGGAGGGGGAGAAAGTAGATGCTAAGGGCTGTACTGATTTGGAAGAAAGATGTGGGAAACCTTTTGACTAACCTCTGTCTCTTGGTATCCAGAGCTTCCTGGCTCCTGGAAAGGAGAAGTAACCTGCGATCTAGTACAGACAGGGGTCGCCTCCCTGAGGGGAGAGGGCCCCGGTACACCAGGCTCTGTCAAAGCCTCAGGCAAGTCCCTTAACCTCAATTTCCTGTCTACCAAACAGAAGTAATCAGACCCACTTCACTGGATTGCTGTCAAAGTTAAATGAAATATTCTATGCAAAACGCATCATACAATAGTGTTCGCGAAATAGTAACTCTAATCCACAGGTTCTTTCCTCCTACAGACACTGGCTGGGCCCCCTTTCAGGTCACCTGTGGGTCCTCACACTCCCCACAACCTAAAGACAACCCTTGGCCCTTTCCAGTGGTTACACTGGCCTCTTTTCAAGGACTTTTGTGTCTTTTTATACGCTGAGGGTCTGATGGAAAGTGTCCAGAATTATCAGATGCTCTAAAATATTGGGATGGACTGGGTTTTAGTGACAAAGTTAAACCCAAACGGAGCAGCAAAAGTCAGTCTACAGAAAAAGAGGAGAACAGAGCAGTCATGGAAAGGGAAGAAGAGGCGTGAAACACTGAATGAATGCAGTGACGCACTGGGGCCAGCTGTGCCAGCTCGGAGCAGACTGCTCTATATCAAGAATTTCGATCTAGCGGTTAAACCATTGGTAGTCTGAAATCAGTCATCGTGGGAGTATTTACACCATGGAAACTGGAAAAGGCTACAAACCAGAGCTGCCCCCCACCATCCTGCCCCAGTCTGGTTATTAAACATTTACCAGAATGCCACTGATGGATGAGTTCTAAGAGCTTTCTAGTTCTCATCCAAGAGGCCAAGGTGCATTATTATCATGAGAGACAGACCTTGGATTGTAAGAGAGCCCTGACCTCCAGAAAATCAATTCCCATTTTTTTAGGCTAGCTCCATTCAGCTTCTTTTTACTTGGTACCCACCTCCTAAAACATGCAAAAATGGAGTATATGTGTTTATGTGCCTTTTCCCTGGAGAAAGGGATTCGTTGAAAGATTCTCACAGGGATCAGTGGATCGTAAGCAGCAGGTGTTACTTAACATCATAAACATAAACTGAAAATGAAATATAAAAACAGTATTGCCTAATGCTTGAATTCCCACAGCAAACCTCTAGGAAGCACATACAAATCATACTTTTATCTTAAACTCAGTGCCCAATAAAGTGCTACCAACGTTCACTTAACATCCCTTTGGACTGAGGCTGGATTCGACGTGCTGTTGGAAAGCACAAAAGATCAGAATCCATAGAGGGGCAGCCGGCCCTGTATAATCTTTGAATAATCAACCCCAGGTCTAGCAAGCCCTAGAAATAGAGTGGAAAATGCAAAGAGCTTGCTCTCCCAGGAGTTGTCCAGGAAAGAACTGGCATCCAAGCACAGTAGACAAGCACAGACAGAGGAAGTAGTGATCCCTCCAACAGCAATACCTTGGAGATACTGAGCCCAATTTGAGAGAACACAGCTCACGGACTGAAATTTTCCTCTAGCGCCCTGGTTCTCAACGCTTCGTGTGTATCGGAAGCACCTGGAGGGCACGTTCAAGCACGGATTGCTGGTCCCACCCCCCAGAGTTGCTGATTCAGGGGGTCTGTGGTGGGGACCCAGAATCTACATTTCAAACAACTTTCCAGGTGATGCCAGAGCTACTGGGTCACCAACCACACTTTGAGGCCCACTGCTCTGGAACCTTGCTACTCAAACAGTGCTCTGTGTGCTTCAGCACCCATCACCTGGGAGCCTCTGAGACATTGATCTAGGAGGCCTTCTGGCTCAGGGGTCACTTTTAGCATTCGGTTAGTATGAACTGGCCCCTCACTGTCTGACTGGGCTTGGCTGAACTGATCATAGCTTGTATAAAGCTGAGACCCTGAACTCACAAAGAGCCACTCAAGGTGCAGACACCTGCGGCAGGGTCCTCTTCACATACCTGCTTTTTTATTGTCATAACTGGACATGGGTGGCCAGGGAAGAAGTTAAAGTTAAATGACTATGGTTAAATTCACCCTATAATCTACTCCTGACATTTGTTAGTGTCCAGACCTTGGTAACTATCACAACCCCAGTTATGCGCCGAGTATATCTTCTCGGTCTACATCCCCACAGCGTTGTACACCCAGGTCACAGGCATCTTCTTCTCGAAGCATTCCTAAACAGACTCAGTCCATTATCATCTCTGAACATCCAGGGGTGTTTTCTGAGGGCCTGGGATTCTGTGCCATTCATGTGGCTACAAATCTCAGATTGCCTTGAGACACACCTCTCCTTCTGTCATCTTAAATTGATCTTAAAATCTTGCATTGCTCAATTTTCTGTCTTCTCCCTGCAACCAGACTAAAATCTCTTTGAAGTTTTTGAGCTTCTTCATGTGCCCACAGAGTCTAGCACAAAGCAGATATGCAGTAACTCTCGTTGCCTTATAGGTTGATGAACTTGAGAAGATACATCAGAGGCTTTGAAGAAATTTTTTTAAAAAATTCTTTTCTGTCGTCCCTTAGAAATCAACTGTTTAAATGGTGGTATTTGCCAGTTCTATAAACCCCCTGCCATAAAGTCAATGATAACTCAAAATGCAAGGCTATGAATGAGGCATAAAAGGGACATTATTTTTCATTGTTAACTCTTCATTTTTAGGATTTCTATTAAGCACGGAGGTAAAAATACTGGGACAACTGTCAAAACATAAGCTCAAAACTTGTTGTTATTCTATCCATTTCATTCTGTTGATCAAGAGAAAACTGATTATAAATATAAGGCTTTTCCCTCCTTTTCTCCAGCTCAGGGAACCTGCTCCTTCTGAGTTTATAATAACCAGGAAGCGTAAGGAAGGGTGAGGAAGGTATAAAGGCAATATGGCATCAAAGGGGTGTCACAAACAGACCTGTCCATCAGCTGGAAGAAGCTATGGGCCACGGAGGTCTCTATGTGCAATTTCTCCCTACAAAACCTACAAAATGTAAAAACCTCGATTCCTTTTTATAGGATGTGACATGTGGGAAGCTCTCTGGAGGTCACCCAATCTAGGCCTCACATCGGACAAGTGACAAGTATCCACACTGAAGACCAAGACCTCCAGCTCCCAGCCCAATCGTCTTTCAATCAAGCCATTACCCTATTGCATTTCAGTATTTCAGAAAAAAGGAAGCCATTTCAGAACGTTGTTTCATTCCCACCCACCGTCTACTTTAGTCATTCTTTCAAAACTCAGTCGTTGATCAGCCACTACGTGCCAGGCACACAGCCCCTGGTGCTTGTGACGCAGTAGTGAACAAGCCGACAGAGACCCCCATCCTGCCGAGCTTACACGTCCGCTTCCCCCTGTTACACTGTGGCTGGAAGGGGAGGGAAAGGAAGAAAAGATGACCAAGACTTAGAAGGGAAAGGAGGGAAGTGATTTCTGTTCTTTTTTCCTTTATCTTGTATGTATTTGTAATATATTCTTTTTATTTTTATATATTATTAGATAGATACATTTCAAAGACCATAAGCTTCATCCATTTAAAAGTGTAGTTCAGGGGTCTTTAGTATATCCATAAAGTTGTGCAACTATCACCATAATCTAAATTTAGAACATGCCAACCCCCCAAAAAGAAGCACCATATCCATTAGGACTCACTCCCCATCCTCCACTCCAACCCCAGGCAACCACTAATCTACTTTCTGCTTCTATGAATTGGCCTATTCAGGATATTTCATGTAAATGGAATCATACAATAATGACCTTTTGTGTCTGACTTCTTTCACTTAGTGTAATGTTTTCAAGATTCATCATGTTATAGCAGGTATCAGTACTGAATTTTTTTTATTGCTGAATAATACTCCGTTGTAATCTATTCTTTTTTCCATCACCTCCAAGTTTATATCAAAAGGCACAAGTCTTCTTTGGAAGGACTGTGTTAGGAAGTATGAGGTTTGGAGGGAGATAAATCCTATCCCCACACCCCACCTGCTCTGGGCAGTTGTTTCAAAGAATCACCGGGCAGTACCTGACCAGATCCATCCCCAGTAAGGCTTCCGTTTCAGCGGCTGGCTCTCTGGCATTGATGGCTTCATTGGCTATGCACACTCCATGTTCATTGGCTCCCATTTCTGCCCCCCAAAGCCAGGCAGGTCTGCTTATCACGATGGCATGGGTCCTGGGAACTTGGTCGATTGAAATGTAAGTGCACTAAAAAATGAAGACAGGAAAGAAAGGGCCATCACCTGTCAGGTACCACTTAGTTTTCACCTTGGTACTTACATTAAACCACCACATCGGTTACATCCAGAGCCGAGAAATAAAAGGCCTTGGGAACACCCAGACTTAAAAGACACCACACATCTCAAAGCAGCTCAAAGGTTTCGCCAGTGAGTTTCAGTGTTGTCACTCACTCAGCTTTCTGTCTCTTTGGTTCAGGCCAATCTGTGCATAATGTTTACATCTACAGCAGCCCACCTTCTCCAACCAGGTATTCAAGCAAGCTCTGCCCTGAATATTCTGTATCTAGCCTTTTCAATGGGCACAGAAGGCCACCAGCATTTTAAACAAGCATAGCTATTCATTTGCAAAATTCCTTCTAGATCAGTGGTTTTCAAACTTTTTGAAAGTTATAGAGTCCTATCTATAAAAGAAACTTTACCCAGATGCCTAACATAGAAAGCAGATAAAAGGAAAGATGGTTTGTCTGAAGAAAAGAGGTCCCCTAAGCTTCCTGCAATGATCCCTAGGGCTCCCTGGAACACAGTTTGACAACCCACATGATTGCTCTAGTGGTAGAAAAGAGAAAATGATAGTGATACTTTACATTTAACTAACGCATTAAATGTACACTCTCTTATCCATTGTGCTTCCTGGTCTGTCCCATTTGATTTCCCACACTAAGCCCACGAGGTGGACAAATAAGGAAACAGTCCCAGAGAGGCATATTCCTAACTGCTGTCACAACTGCAGCACATAACCACTTAGAGCTGTGTCTGACTTCTCCAGGCTGCTGTGTCTTTACCTGCAAAATGAATGAGCTAATCTAGATCAAGCTACTTCTTTCCAAGTATTGATATTTTTAGCCTCAGAACACTTCCTCCATACAAACTCTTACATAAAAGCATAAAGACAATAAAACTGGTCAAAGTGTATTGAGGTGAATGGAAGAACAGGCATGGGACTGGGGATAGATAACTCAGAGCCTTTCCCCTCCCCACACCGGGCCCCTGGGAGGACTCGGCTAGAGCAGTTGGAAAAGCACTAAACTAGGCTGTCCACAGGAGCCTCCTGACGCTGACATGCTAGCAGTCTATGACACACATACTCTTCCCGTGGAAGCTGCAGTGTGGAACTCAGGGCTCTAAATTACACAGAGCTTTTCAGCTCTCAGGGGAGAAATTTATCAGCCACAGCAGCCATTTGCATTTTAAATTGGGCACCTGAAAGCACTGGATCAACTGCAGCCTTAGATCATTTTTTTGATTCAAGACCCACTTATATGGACTGAATGCAGCCCAGAAAGCTACTCTGCATTGATTTTCCATAATCTCTAAACCTCAGGTAAGAGCTGAAATGCACACTCACTGATCACGTGACATCCGTATCTTCACGATCCACGTTAGGTATTGCTCTGCACTGGGATAATGTTATTTCACTTGGTAAGTATTTGTAAACTGAAAGCTAATTAAACCCGGAGGTTGTCAAGAGACCGTTGAATTTTTCATGGCAAATTGATAGTAAAATATACTCTTGAAATGTTTTCCCCTATTCAGTTCCCGAAAGTTATTTATTGTTTTAAAAAAATGATTCTTTTACAGCAAAAGGCTGGCCAAGGTGGTAAACAAGCTACGGTCCTCTGTGCTCTTCTAAGTGGAATTGAAGTTTATATGTTAGAATTGTACTATTTCATGCCAAAAGCAGCATTGATCAACACTTTCCAAAACCCCTGTACCCACTGAGGTCCAGTGACAAACTCTATCTTGCAAAGACTAAGTAAATAGGCAAGGAATCTCAGGTTCTTAAGCACAGATTTATCATAAAGTATTTTTTGTAAGGACAGGAAAAAAGCAAAATAGGAAATGAGCTTTTTATTTGCCCTCAAATTCATTTTGACACATTTGTTCCCATTTCACCAAGTATCTACAGAGCACCGACCACACACAAGGCATTTCCTGCTAAGTGCTGCTGGCAGATAAATCAGTGAGGAGACCCAGTCTCTGTCCCTTCAGTTGGGAAAGAAGGAGAAGGCACATACGCAGACTACGACCACAGGCCAACTTCAGTAAGTGTCACTGAGGCCTGTATGCACTGCATCTCGTCCCCTCCTCCCACCTCGTACTCTGATCGACACGATCCTGCCCTTCCTTTTCCTTTCACTGTTCCATGCCATTTTGACCCTTCCAAAATACTATATAACTGACTGACGTATCGTACGTGCTGTTTATGTATGCTATCTCCACCAGCTGGAACGTAAGCGCTATTGAGAGATTACAGAAGGGAAGGAGGGAGAGATCTTTGCTGTTTAGTTCACGACATATCCCAAATCTGGTATATAGTAGGCATCAATAAACCTTTTTTTGAATGAATGAATGGATAAGTGAGTGAACGAATGAATAACACAGGTCGGAGGGAGCATAATAGAGGTTCAAAGGAAAGGGAACACAACCAAGTGGGCAGAGGTTTTATCAAGTGAGTGACATTTAGGTTGATCTTGAAAAGTAGGCCAGACATCGAGGTATTCCAGACAGAGGTAAGAGCCTGAGAAGAGACAGGTGGGGATGTCAAAAATGTGTTCACGGTTCAGGGAGGTCCTCCACCCTGCCACTTAGGGGAGCTACGATGGCACTGAGTCACAGGACTGCAAAAGCTCAATAAGTACTGACAGATAAAAATGTTGAACACTGAATGCAAAAGACCATATGGTCTCTGTGGGAGTCCAAAATACATGCAGCCAACCTGACACTTTTCAGGCCAAACTTAGAATCATGAGGAAGGAAGGAGATCCCCAACTAGCCAGATGGGCTAAATCAGCACCTCCCAAGCACCAGGCTGCAAGCTGATGCCCCAGATCTCCTCACAGGCCACAGGGTCGGGGAACGGGAGGTGGATGGGTGTGCACCCCAGCCTTAGTGAGCCTATAACACATGCCCCTCGGGGCATCTTTGTCATGGACCACGGAAGTCTGGGCCTCACAAGGGCCCTTCTGTGGCTGCAATTCACACATGGCCCACTGGGTTTGAAATCTGTCTAATGACACCCAGGTGTAGGAGGGAGTAGGGAGGATGGACACACTTGTCTCATAGAGATCGGTTACTTAAAATCCCAGTTTGGGAGCAAGCCTCACAAATAAGGAACATTTACACAAGATGTAATGAGTTAAACGTTGTAAAGTCAGCCATCTAGAACATGAACTCTGCAGGCAGTCATTTTCTTAAGTAAAATTCACTGACACTCACAGTTTCCACATTATTAACAAGGCAGAGAAAAAGTGGGATTTGAGGTAGCAGGAAAGGTGTCTCTGGGGGAAAAAAATCCAAAAGTACCTGAAGTTTTCTTTCAGCCTGGAAAAACAGTTTAGTTCTAAAGTCAAAAGTCCTAGCCAAGTTTCTATGAGAAAAAAAGCAAAGAGAAAACGTTCACCACTCAGAAGATCAGTCTTTACAGGGACAGTTCAGGCCTCACTTCGGTGATTAAGCTGTTCAAGGGGGCTTCAGAAAAAGAGGAGCAGTTCGTCTTGCTGCCCCATGGCCACACCCACCCAGCCTTTAATAAAACAAATCTGTCAGCTAGTGTGACTTCTGGGGGCCAAGGCCACACAGCAACATAAGAATGCCCAGGGCAGGGGGCGTGGTGAGGCACACTTGTAAATATCAGCCCTGCCTAATGCTAATCACTGAGCTTTTAAAAGTATTACCTGCGCTGAGCTTGTCGCTCTCAGGTGGCTCCTGGGGACATATGCCAGGTTGGAGGATGGAAAGATAAACCTTGACAAGGCCCCGGAGACAAAAACAAATGACAATTCTTGTTCAGGGCAAACCCTTTATTATTTTGTGTGATGGTGTCCAAAACGAAAAGCAAAATCAGCGTCATGCTGTCGCCTACCCCTTGCACATTCCTGCACACACTATTTCTGGATATCACCCAGTGAAAGTGGAATAGAGACACTCACACAATAGACGTTTCAATTAATGAAACGCAATCATTGTGCCTTTCCTACTGTACTCAGATGGTGAACACAACCCTGGCACCACCAGCGAAAACCACTGTGAAATGAGTTGATGAGTCAGCCAGACTTCTTAGGGTGGGAAACAAAGGCAGGGAAAATGGGATGCTTCAGGGAAATAGTTTTAGTTTTAGAAAATGTGTGACTCTAAAGCAGCACTGCCAATTATCACTGAGGTTGTTCGTTTTTTAATTGTTTTATTCCAGTGTCCTGCCTGCTACTTGACTTTTGAAAATGTGCCCTTAAGGCTCATATGAGTCTAAACAAAGACAAAAGAAGATGCTGACCACACTTTAGAAGAGCTGCTTTTTATTCCCCTGAAGCTGTAAGATCTTTGAGGATGGACAATCCAAAGGCCTGGCGTCAGAAACAGGATTGGGAAAGGGGACGTGATGGAAGGAAGCCCCCTGCCGAGCCACTCTCCCACGGAGCAAGGGAGACGCTCTGGCCCCACAGAAGGCTGGAGACTCCTGCTCCTGGGGCTGAAGAGAAGAAAACAGGAAAACAGGAAGAAAGACACACAATCTACTTAGTGGCCATGGAGCTCTGGTCAGATTTCTTTGATTCCAGAATGACTTGTGCTCTCCTGCTGTAGGGGATAATCTTCAGAATTAACATTCAGGACCCACTCCCTGCCCCACCATGTACACACATACTCCAAACACCACAAATACAGCCACCACCTAAACAATGCTACTAACAACACCACCAGCTATCATTAATTGGTAATTTTCTATTCTTCTTGCAAATATTTTCATTGGGGAAGAAAAGGGAAATGATCTACTAAAAACCCACCCCAATTGTGAAAGTTGTATAACCTTGCTGAGGATACTAATCCCACACTGAACTTCATACAGTAGAAAATAAAAATAAATTCAAACTAACTTTCAAAGAAAAGGAAACAATGAATTCTAAAGGAGAGAAAAATGGAGGTAAGGTTTAATATATAATAATAAGAGAATCTTTCAAAAAACATTATGTATCA